GGATTCATGTTCTGCGATTGAGAGAGAGAGAAAGAGGGAGTTACCTGGAGGCGGAGGAGAAGACCGTAACGTCGTAGAAGAGTCAGAAGAGAAGGCTAATGTGTAAGGAGGAGAAGACTTTTTATTGTAATGGAAAATGTGGGAATATTTAGGTTTAGTGTTTAAGGAAATGATTGGTTGATAAAGATATGATGTGTTGATTTTTAGGTGGACGAAAATGTCGATAAATACCATAAACTGGGGAAAGACAAAGTTGTAGTGATTTACTGAATATTAGTTTTCCTAAAATAGATTTTTACTAGAGTTATGACTCGAATTTGGTTAACAACACTATATAAATCTTGGTTTTGGTCTATGTTGAATTCAATTCATAATACTTTAGTATTTGAACACTTTAGATATCATATCCAAATAAACATTAAACTGGGTTGATTTTATTTACGTTTTGAATAGTTTTGAGATATTTAGATTTCTTTATTTTGGATTTTGAGTTTTCCAGATCAGATTTTGGATAAATGGCTACATGAAATCTTCTTTTGGTCAAATCACTATATGAGATCTTCACCTATTCTATAGGTTAGATCAAATACATTACACCAAAAGTTTAATAATAATAATAATAGTATCCCTGCTGGGGAATGCGTTAAGTGCTAGTCGGGTTACAGGAGTAGATCTAACGTCTAGAAAAAAATCAAGAAATAAGCGAGAATTATACGGGATAGAAGTTTTAGATTATTTGACATGTTATATAATATGTTAATCTTTAATTGTGTATAACATTAATACATTTTTATTTTTATGTTTAAAACCGTATAAAACACACTATTAAAATATATAAACTTAATATGATATAATTCTCATCAAAAGTATAAATATAAGTTACATTTATCAAATTTTAGATCAAATAAATAGATAAAAATATTATTTAAAAATAATTATATATCAGATCACCTAGGCAACCTATACGGGATAAAATCAGGATGGATGAGGGCCGCCTAGCACCTAAGCAACCGATTTTTAGAATAAGGATATTACTAGATTAAGGGTCTAACTGACTGAAATATTACGGTTGTGGTTGCGGAAGTTTACATATGTGAGTGGTTGCAATTTTAACATTATTAAGTATTTTGTACGACATGTAAAACACTTAAAAAGTTGCTGTGTTTGCAAACCATTTATTACTAGTCTAGTAATAAATTACTAATATTAACACCTTTAACGTTATAAAATATCCAAACATAATGTTATGATAAAGTATAATTATTAATATAATATAAAATAATTAATAACCATATTACATTTTCTTTAACAAAATGTAAATGAAAGTTATAGTTTCAATACAATTTGTTTTGGATATTCATATTATAATTTTAAAATAATGTTTTGTTTCGTTTATATATATATTTCTATTGTAATTTAAATTCACTAATATATATATATATATATATATATATATAATATTTTAGAATTTAATTTCAAAAATTTAAAATATTTTTTAAGAATATCTTATATTTATTTATCCAATTGCAACCATGCGCAACCACAAGCACTATTGGGAATCAGCTTTTAATTTTTAGAGGTTGTAAACTGTTTGGAGCGATTTATAGTGTTTTGTGTGATTTTCGCATAACAGTGATAAGCGCTATCAACCCCAGAAGTTGCGTCTACAAGTTGTAACAAAGAAGCCAGTCATACCCTAAAATCTGCACATTGTGAGGAATAGACATTATGTATACAAATTATTTTTACACATTATTATTTATTTTATGTTCATTTACATATTATAAAATAATATATATACTTAATAATTGAGAAATGAGTAAATAATACGAATACAATTAAAACGGGATATGCACATATATCAAAATAATCATTTTATATGGTATATAATTAAATTTAAATAAATTGAAATAAATATACTATATTTAAATATGAATAATTAGAGTTTTCTAGTTCCTACTCATATAATTTTATTAACATTTGTATATTTAATGTAACAAAAAAAGTTAAGCTATTAAACAAATAAAAAATCAATGTGAGATTTGTAATAGTTTTAATAATGTATACTCGTTAATTCAATGCAAATTTGAAATTAAAATATTTAGGTCTCAATATCTTTACAGCGCAATTTTTGAAATTAATTTTATTTATTATTTTTATATGGTATATTTTTTAATTTAAACGATATTAAATATATATATATATATAAACTAAAAATTTATTAAAGATACTTCATATTCATATGATTTTAAGATCATTTGTATCTTCTCATGATAAAAAAAGTAAAACCATTGTTCATAAAATTTTCATCGTAAGATTTTTAACAGTTTTAAAAGTTTAGTCTTTTTAAAATTCAAAATATAACATATTAAAAATCTAATTTTTTATTGTATGATAATGTGATTGTTTAATTTTTTAATAATATAAATTAAACAAAAATGATGTGAAATACAAAAACTATTATCAAATCTTTACTATTCAAAATATTTAATTATATTAAGTAATTTTATAGTTTTTATTTAAGAATAATGAAGAATATTCTTTTATGAACTACTAATCAATTAGATAGTTAATTTAATAATAATAATAATATATATTTAGATGAACCAATTTATCATTATAAGGATTCTAACGGTTATCTTAATGATAACACAGGACTACATTCAAAGTTTATAATACTCCTCAATTAATATATACAGATTTTGATAAAATAAATGGATGGGCTTTGAATGTAGTAGGAGATGCAGAATGGGTGCAAGCATGGAACATGGAACATGGAACATGGAACATGGTACACTCGTGTGAAAAGCCATTTGGAAGTCATGGAAACGAGCCGAACCAGTTGTCGTCACGACTCCACTTTATTACATAAATACCCCTCCCCACATGGGCAGTGCTTACTCCACTATTGTAATTGCCAGTTTCCTGGTGTGTTTCTCAGTCAGTCTCTCATCACTTTGCCATTCTTGTAAAAGTCTACATTTCTATTTCTATAAATCAAGTTTGACTTATTTCTGCTGAATGGCTCATTTATATGGTGCAGTGCTTCTTAAAAACTTCATGAACTTTGCTTTGTTTCTAATGGTTTCTTCTGGTCGCCTCAGTTCCATGTCATTTACTTAACCTACTAACGAACTAATGGTGGACAGAATCTAAACTGGTGAATAGAATGAGATATGAAAGCAAATTCATTTAACTGGTGTTAAGATAGATATATAATCCTAATAGAGGTGGATTTTATTCCACCATCAATATTCAAAACACACAAAAACCAAGAAAATATAAAAAGAGGAAAAGCTACAGATCAGTCTGCTGCTTCTTCTCAAGGCTCTCTCTCTCTCTCTCTCTATTAACTTAGAATCGAAATTTCTACAACAAGACAGAAGACAGCAGGAGAGATGATCATAGCATCTCTTGCGATTTTCTAACACAGCAACTCGCTTTCTTCCTAAACTCTGCTCTGTTATCTGTCTCTCCATTCTTTTGAAGCTTCCACATTGGCCGGTGACTCATCGTTGGGACACGAAAGCATCGATACTATACACAAAACCATCGCAAGCGACCGGCAAAGCACAAATCCCACTGGACTCAAGGATTAGTAACGTTTCTCCATTTATAATCTCCATTCAGCTGATCTGTGTTCCATCTAATGATCCATCCAGATTTTAGGGATTGTTCGTTTTTCCATCTAGATGAGTCATCTAAATGAACCATTTGAATGAATTTCATGTTTGTTTTTTTTTTTTTTATTTCCATTCAAATGAGTTTGATAAACAAATTACATATATACTCTTGTTTTGATTTAATCATATGTTTGCTATTAATTATATGCGGGAAAACGAGATTTTGTGATTTTGGCGGGAAAACGAGATTTTTGGATTTGGCGAGAAAACAAGATTTTTCGGTTTTTAGGGAAAACGAGATTTTTCGGTTTTTAGGGAAAACGAGTTTTTTTGGATTTGGCGGGAAAACGAGATTTTTCGGTTTTTTTAGGGAAAACGAGATTTTTCGGTTTTTAGGGAAAATGAGATTTTTCGGATTTGGCGGGAAAACGAGATGTTTCGGTTTTTTTTAGGTAAAACGAGATTTTTCGGATTTGGCGGGAAAACGAGATTTTTCGGATTTGGTGGGAAAACGATATTTTTCGGATTTGGCGGGAAAACGAGATTTTGTGGATTTTTTCAGTTTTCATGTGTCACAGAATAATTTTAGTTTAAGTTTGTAATTTGTGAATTACAACAGGGGTATAATAGACATTATACCATTTTGAATGAACCATCTCTATTCAAATGATCCAAATTCGTTCAGCTGAATAAACTTTAAAATTAAGCCTAAATTTCCAAAAATCATTTAAATGGATCATCTGAATGAGTTGTACTTTTTGTGTCTAAACGAACAAAAAGCCCATCTCCATTCGAATGGATCATTTGAACGAAGAAACGAACAGCCCCTAAGTCATTAAAACAGACAACCTTTCATTTTCACTTGGCAATTTTATTCATCATATGTATCATTCATGTTCTAGAACAACTTAAGAATCAGGAATCGAGTTGTACCTCAACTTAATCAACACATATATCTTGATAACATATATATATATATATATATATGTTGATGACATTGTAGTCTCAAGGAAGGGAGAATAGTATATGATTCTTTAGCAGCCAAGAATGAATTGTATGTCCTTATGACGCAGCCACATTTCGGTAAATGTTTAACGCCATCATGGGCTGATATATATAGAGTTGATGATGGCATCTGTCGTCAATGATTCTTTGGATAGACGAGAAAAACTATACAACCACGTTTAGTTCTGTAGCAAATAGGGCTTGTACGTAGGTGTATGATCTTCATGGTGTTGAAGCTGCTTATTCTTTTCATTTTTAATTGAAGAGGGTAAATCAAGACATTGACATCTCTTCCTACACCAGAAGAGGCTCCTGCAACAATAACCACTTTGTCTTTGAGCTCACACTATCGCTACAGCTGCTTCAACACCTGCTTCTCTACCATTACAACAAACACATAATTATTTCTAATCAAGGAATATTATACACAAGTTTAGCGGCCAAGCTCTCTAACTAAAGCTACAACATTAGGAGTTAATGAATGTCGCATTTGCAGACAGAGGACCATAATGAAAACTGTAATGCACCAATAATAATACCAAAACATATATTCGGGTCATACGACAAAGCACAAAACAAAAAAAGAAGAGATTACAGTATCTGTATTTTCTCTAACAAATCTGAGAGACTAAGTAAGGAAGCCAAAAACAAGAAGTACGTTTTTAAACTCCAAGTCCAATACAACGGAAAAAAAACGGCAGAGCACGGATGATATACTAAGATTAGATGATCCCGATTTTGTTAGCAACATCCAAAGCATCATAATCAGGAGTCAATCTCACGTACGCCTTCTTCGTTCCATCAGGCCTGAAACAAAACCATTAAACCATTCATTCATCTTCCATGTTAACAATATTATCAAACTCTATAGTGAAAGATTTGCTTTAGATTGTTGTGTGTACCTAATGAGGGTATTGACTTTCTTGGTCTGAATGTCATACATCTTCTTGACAGCATCTTTGATCTTCTTCTTGTCTGCACGGATATCAACGATGAAGACCAAGGTGTTGTTGTCTTCAATCTTCTTCATTGCGGACTCGGTGGTGAGTGGGTACTTGAGGATACCGTAATGGTCCAACTTGTTCCTTGGAGTTGCACTGATGCGTGGGTACTTTGGGTCTCTAGCCTTTGTCAATGTCTTTGGCCTGTGGAATGTCACCTTCGTCCTTATCTTTTTCGCCTTCTTCTTTATGGTTTGCCCTGATTTTACCGCTTTCGCAGCTTTCAAGGCCTTTGCCTTTGGGTCAGCCTTTTTAGTTACATCAACTGCAAAAAAAAAAAGGAAACAGAGAAATGAATCAATTAAAAAGCTTCAAAGGCAGAATCTTTATATGAGATCACAAGCCATTATTAGCCAATTTCATAAAATGTCTACAAGTTACAAGAATATTCAAGTTACAAACACTAACTCACATGCACTGTTAATAACTAAAGGCTAATAACAATAGTAATAATAAAGCTTTCATTCATGGAAAAAGCAATGTAAAAATCAGTTATAATGATAAAACTATAAGTGTCCAAAACAAAGAAAATAGCAACTTTTAACACCAGAGAGTGTCGAGCAAGAAACTTACTGTACCACACACTCTGATTGTAACGTTTTTTGATGAACTAGTATTCAAAATAGATGAGGTATCAATGGAAAGGTCGTACCTTTAGCTGGAGCCATTACTAAAAGTGAGATCCTTTCCACAAAATCTGCTATACCCAATAGACAGTTAACGAAGTTATGCAATACCCAGAAAGCGATTCGAAGTTGAGAAGAAGGTCAGAGAGAGATCAAGAGAGGACGAACCTGAGTGGCGGCGAATCGAAAGCTATAAATCAATTTTGAGGTTTTCTTTTATTGTAGGGCAACGGAAATGAAAAGACTAAAAGCCCTAGACCGTTGCATAAGGGCCTTGATTAAATTACTGTGCTTTCTTTTGTCAAATGATTCAAAGCCCATTCCGGTTATTGGGTTAAAAACCATTATCTATTATCTATACAAGGTAAAGTAACCCGTGCGATATCGCACGGAAACTCATTTTATAAAATTAATTTATAATAAATATTTGTATAAAAATTACAATTGGTTTAGTGGTTTACTATTTTCAATATTGGCAAAATTAGTAGTTTTAATATATCGCACATAAACTCATTTTATAAAACTAAATGATAATAATAAAATTTTGTATAAAAATTTACAATTGCTTTAGTGTTTTACTATTTTCAATAATGGCAAAATTAGTATTTCTAATATATTTATTTGCATGGTCTGTTTCATGAGAAATAATATAAAAGAAAGTGAATATTGTAATAGATTTATATCGATTAATATTGACATGATCCGTTTCATTTATATTACTGCCTTCAATTTTTGAGAGAAATTTTATAAAAGTTCTGATAGTTATTATTATATTAAACTAACATAATGATTATGGATTATGGATTATGGATTAAGTTGATAAATTATGGATTTACCTTTTAAAAATCATTGATGTCATTAAATCTTTAAATAGTAATTTTTGAAGTTAATGTGGTATGAGGATATGAATACTCTATAATTTAGTGATTTCTCAACTAATTTTTCTAAACTTAGGTTAAGATACAAAAATAACAATTTTTTTTTTTTTTTGTGTTTATATGTGATCATGTTATTGAAAGTGTATAAGACTTGATGATTTCCATTGATCACGTGAATAAGTATATATACAACATATGTAACTGTCGATACTTATCTATACATGAATATACTTATTCTCTAACAATAGGATATTATCATATCCTAACTAACGCTCCCCCGCAGTCGAAGCGGAGCTTGTCGGACGTTGAGACTGGAGCGGAAGTCGGTGAACAATGGAGAAGGGAGGCCCTTTGTGAAAATGTCCGCGTACTGAAGGTGTGTTGGCACATGAAGGACGCGAACAAGACCCATGGAGACTCTTTCTCTAACAAAGTGCAGATCGATCTCAATGTGTTTCGTGCGCTGGTGTTGAACTGGATTGGACGACAGATACACGGCTGAGATGTTATCACAATATAAAATGGTTGCTTTGGGGATAGAACAGCCGAGTTCCATTAGTAGGTTGCATATCCAAGTTGTTTCTGCAACAGCGTTGGCCACACCACGGTATTCAGCTTCTGCGCTCGAGCGGGAGACTGTGTTCTGGCGCTTTGAGGACCATGAGATGAGACTATCGCCAAGAAAAACGCAGTAGCCAGATGTGGAGCGTCGTGTCGATGGACAGCCTGCCCAGTCTGCGTCGGAATATGCCACGAGGTCAGTGATAGATGATTTGTTCAGCTGAGGGCCGTGAGAGATTGTACCCTTGAGATATCGAAGAATGCGTTTCAGAGCTGCAAGATGAGCTTCACGGGGATCATGCATGAATAAGCAGACTTGCTGAACAGCAAAGGAGATATCCGGCCGTGTGAGTGTCAGATACTGCAGTGCTCCGGCAATGCTTCGATAGAGAGAAGGATCGGAGACGGGTGTGCTCTCATCCACAGCGAGCTTTGGCTTAGCAACAGGTGTATTGCAGGGATTGCAGTTTGTCATGGAGGCACGGTGTAAGATATCGGCAATGTAGTTTTGCTGGCTGAGAAACATGCCTTTGTCGTTGTAGGTGACTCCAATGCCGAGGAAGTGATGAAGCTGGCCGAGATCGGTGATGTCAAACGCAGAGGAGAGACCGGAGATGATCCGATTGAGAAGGGGTAGATTTGATGCGGTAAGGATAATGTCATCAACATAGAGCAAGAGATACGTGGTGTCTGGACCTTTGTTGATGATGAAGAGAGAGGAATCACACCGGCTCTGCACAAATCCTATCTTTTTAGCAATGGATGCGAACCTTGTGTACCACGTACGCGGAGCTTGTTTGAGGCCATAGATCGAGCGACGGAGCAGGCAGACGTGGTTTGGTTTTGACTTGTCGACGAAGCCGGGTGGCTGGTGCATGTAGACGGTTTCTGCTAAGTCGCCGTGGAGAAATGCGTTTTTGACATCGAACTGACGAAGGGGCCAGTTGCGAGCTAACGCAATATGGAGCACGGAGCGAATAGAGGCAGGCTTGACCACGGGGCTGAAAGTGTCGAGACAGTCGATGCCAGGTTGTTGTGATTTTCCATTAGCGACGAGGAGAGACTTGTGTCTTTTGTGCGTTCCATCTGCATTAAACTTATGACGAAAAAGCCACATAGAACGTATTATGTTAACACCCGGAGGCCGAGGGACTAACTCCCACGTACCGCGTTTAATATGGGCATCGTATTCCTCGTGCATTGCTCCATTCCAGTAACGATCCTTTGCAGCCTGTACATGAGACAAAGGAAGAGGAGAAACAATTTCTGTATGAAGGCAAAGGGGAACACGAGGTTTTGTGATGCCAGTTTTGCTCCGAGTGACCATAGAATGGGTATTTTGTGTGGGTTGGGGTGCCGGCGGAGAAGGAGGAGCCGCCGGTGGAGTTGGAGGAAAGGTTGGTCGGATAATGGGTGGAATGAGAGAGGGCACAAGAGGTGGAGAAAAAGGTAAGCTTGGAGGAGAAGAAAGTGTAGAAAAGGGGAACACATCCTAAAAAAATGTGACATGGCGCGAGATAACTATCTTGCGTGTGGATAGTACCATGCACCGATATCCTCGATGGCTCAGCGGGTATCCAAGGAATACGCAAGCCATTGATCGAGGTGCCAATTTGTGAGGTGATGTAGAAGCTGTATTTGGATAGCACAAAGAACCAAAGACACAAAGGTGAGAGTAAGAAGCAGGCTTATTAAATAAAAGAGTGAAAGGTATATTATTTTGAATAGCAGAAGATGGAATGAGGTTGAGAGTGCAAACAGCCGTATGCAGAGCCTCGACCCAAAAAGAAACCGGCATGTTTGCTTGAATGAGGAGTGTGCGCACCAGATTGTTGATAGTGCGAAGCATTCGCTCTGCCCGTCCGTTCTGTTGTGACGTGTGAGGGCAGGAGAAGCGAATGGAGGTTCCGGTGGCAGCCAAGTGATCGAGGAAGGCTCGGCTGGTGTATTCGCCACCGTTATCGCATTGAAGAGCTTTGATTGAGCTGTTGAATTGGGTGCACACATAGGTAGAGAAGTGTAAGTATTTGGCAAAGGTTTCACTTTTTCTGTGTAACGGATAGACCGAAGTGTAATGAGTAAAATGATCCTAAAATAAAAGGTAGTATTAAAGCCAGAGTTACTAGACACAGGAGATGTCCAAATATCAGAATGAATAATCTCAAAAGGTGCAGTAACAATTGTAGAAGAAGAAACAAAACGGAGACGAGTGTGTTTACCCACTTTGCACGCATGACACAAAGTTGTCAAGTCGGCAATATTATTAGAAAAACCCAAATAAAATAAAGAACGATTGATGGAGCTACCCGGGTGACCTAAACGCTGATGCCAAAGAGGGACACCGGCGGTGAGAGCAATGGGACGAGATGGGATGGTAGATGGTGTCCCCGAGTAAAGAGGTCCAGGGCTGTCACATCGGAGCAGAGTTGTCCTGTGAGGGAGATCCTTAACAGAGAAACCAAAAGGGTCAAACTCAACAGAACAATTATTTTCGGTTACAAACTGGCGGACAGAGATAAGGTTTTTGATAATAGATGGGCAAACAAGCACATTTCGAAGAAGAAGATTTTTAGTAGAGGAGCGAAGAGAGGAATGTCCCATATGTGTAACAGGAGCAAGAGAACCGTCACCTACAAGAACAAAACGAGTTATGCCCTTATTAAAAACAGACGAGAGAGTACCTTGATCAGCCGTGATATGGTTGGTAGCGCCGCTATCCATGTACCAGGGAGCCACTGCCGGATCTTGAAGGCTCATGGTGTTAAATGCTGAGGCCAGCGCCTGAGGAAGCATTGAGTATGTTGGTGTTGCAGCAGCTTGAGCAACATGAGCTTGAGGTGTGGGTTGTGGTGAGTACGGCCCGAGAATGCTTGGACGTTGAGATGATTGAGTTGGCGTGAAAGGAGGGTATGGATACTGCATCATCGGTGGGGTGCCTGGGAAGAACGAATATGGCCATTGTTGTTGGCCGTAGGACCATGGTGAGTGACCGTAATTCTGAAATCCAGAGTTGTTGTACCTTCCACGTCCACGGTTGCCACGACCTCCACCACGGTTGCGATTGCCGCGTCCGCTGCCTCTGTTGTTGTTGTTGTTGAATTGTCGGGGATGAGGGTTGGACGCGCTGCTGTCAGCAAAGAGAGCGTTTGGTGATGCTGTCGTGTCTGTATGAGTTACGGCAGGTTTGGTCTGTTTGCTGAGTCTTTCTTCTTCAGAAAGGAGCATTGATCGGGTATTGTGAAAGGTGGGGAAGGGGTTTCTGTGGCGGATGACATTGTGAATTCCATCGAATTTGTCATTGAGTCCATTCAGGCACATAACGAGTTGGCGATCGGTGATGGGAGAATCTACGTTGGCTAGAAGATCAGAGAGGGACTTCAATTTGCGGCAATATTCTTGAACAGAGAGATCGCCGATGGAGATGGTCCGGAGCTCGTTCTCGAGTTGTAATGCTCTGTTTTCTTTGTTGTCTCGAAACAGATTCTCAAGAGTGCACCAAAGGTCGTGTGCGGAGCTCTTCGGCGTGAGGATGGTTTCGACGAGTGAATCGGTGATTGTGCCATAGATCCACATCTTGACAAGACCATCATGCTCTTTCCACGTTTTCTCAGTCGCTGGAGTAGCAACCAAGGAACCGTCGAGATGATCAAGTACACCAAAGGTGAGGCAGTGAGTTTCAAATATCTCTCTCCAGACATCGTAATTCATCTTATCGAGATCGAGTACAATGGG